GCTCACCATTTGGCCTGAGAATCCTGGTCAGAGGCAGACAGCTCTGTGGTTCTCCTGTGTTCCTCACTTAGCACCTCAGTCTCTCTTACTGCCTGAGGCCACCATCTCAGTGGGTTACAGTCGTTATTAAAATATTGTTTCCAATAGTCTTGAAATTAGAGAGTGTTTAAGGTCCTGTAGTTAAATTCTCCTCTTAGTTTCAAATAGTATTGCTGGTTAGTGATGCAATTAAATTAAATTGAATTAATAGGTATCATACATATTGGAAAGGATCATGTTACTTGATCTTCAACCTCTAGTTCTGTTCTTCAGTGTTGCTGGCAAATAGCTACCTGCTGAGCTATTTGAGTTGGTTGTTAGATAAGATAGCCATCTTCTGTATCAAGGGTTCCTGTTCCTGACTTTTCTTAATTTTAAGGTGAAATTCTATCCTTATAATCTGAACATGTTGACTACATGTTCTGCTTTCTATGACAAGCTTTCACTAGTTTATAGATTTTTAACCCTGTGGGTTGTGAAGCTAAGCATACTAACTTGCTTCTTTGTTTTATCATATGGCATGGTGGTTAGTGTTAGCTTCTATTTTTTATAGTATTTCCAGTCAGTGTGACACCCCATCCACATTAAGATACTACCCGGTTGATATGATTATGTAATATACTTTGTCTTCTAGTAGAATCTGGGTGAGAATTAGGTTTGTATGTTGTTACATTGTGTATAGTACTTATAGGCTAAAATACTAAAGTGATTTAAATGTAGTTTATTGAGATTTATTTTGCAGTTAAGATGACAGTTTGTGAATGATTTTTTTCTCTCTTTGACCCAGTCTTATACCTTACTAGCTGAAGTTGTCATGTGTTCTAATGATAATGTAAATGAACATAGGGTTTGTGAAAACCTGACTAGAACTCAGCTAGTGGGCAACATTATAGTTTATTTATAGCAGTGCAGTACAGTTAACTAATGAACTTAGAATGAGGGCAAAATTATACTACATTTTATGTGAAATTATACTATATGACAAAGGTTGGCATTATGTAATAAGTATCTACAAAATGTTAACCTACTTGCGATAAATACAATTAATAATGTACATAAAAGAATGAAATTAAGATAATTTTTATCAAAAAAGAATTATTCATGAACAGAAAGTGGACAGCATAGATTTGATGACAAGAAGGTTGTATCTAATCTGAATTACTGAGTGACCTAGGAAGCTTGCTCAGAGGGATTACAGAATAATTATGTTAATATGCAATTATCACCTCATTTCTTCTGTAGTAACCTCAAGATGCAGTGTAGTGAGGGTGTTATAGCAAGTGCTGATAGTTTGCAAAAATACTGATGTTTGAGATTTCTGAGACAATAAGACTAGCTTGAGGCGTGTAAGTGATGGTCTGTCATCCTGAAGACAGACCTGACCTCTGTGCTGTGCAGCGAGCGCTCACCGTGTATGACTAGAGGCAGCTATAGCTGCAGAACTCATTATGCTTCTAGAAGCTGCAGTACGCTTTATGTAGATTTTAAACCCCCATTTGCAGCTTTAAAAAAAAGCGTATGCATTTTTTAAAGAACATGTTTAAATTCAGTTAAGAGGAAGATTCTGTGGTTCTATGATTATCGAAGGATTTTAATAGTGCTATCTAAACAATATGTTAAAGAATCTTAAATGGTACTTTGAATTAATCAAATGCAAGTTCTCTTAAACATTATACCATTAGAGTATGTTTAAAATTTGTTAGCTTACTTTATATTTATTTTTAAAATATATTTTTAATGATTTTTTTTTATGTACTTTGGTTTTTCCTTGCATGTTTCTCTGTGTGAGGGCATTGGATCCCTTGGAACTGGAGTTACAAATAGTTGTAAGCTGCCATATGGGTGCTAGGAATTGAACCTGGGCCCTCTGGAATAAAGCTTATTAAGCTATCTATCCCTCTAGCCCTGGTTAGTTTCCTTAAATTCACTGAGTAATACTTACCTACAAATATGTTTCTTTTGTTACAGCAACAAACTGGTGTCAGGGCCTCAGCTGTATGTGCTTGTCTATATAGAGGTAGTCGAAAACTGTTTGAAAAAGTGTTAAATTAGTTTATAAGGCAATTTTTTAAAAATCTGGATCAACGCAGTCCTCTTTTAATCCAAGGAAGTAGATGAAAATTATAGACTTTTCATAATGTAATAATATAGATCCTTCATAGTGTAATGGTGTATTGTTTTTCATTGTGCCCTGAAATTTGTATAAAATACTTGAAGCATTTTATAGTCAGAATGTATTAGGAAAATTAAACCCAGGAAAAAAATGTTAGCTGTTCGTAAACACCAACTTGCAGACTCCATTTCTTACGGCATTTTTTCCAGTTGACGAAATAAATTGCCATTTTCAGTGGTCTAAGAAAGCCTTATAATTTCTCCTGAGTAGAGAAGATTATGAATTAGTAGATAGTCACATTTCATTATATGGACATGAAGAAAAACTGGCTGGTAAAGACCTGCTTTCATGTTTCAGCAGTGTGATTTAGTTTCCTTTGTTTACTGTAGATATGTTTTGTGGACCAAATAGGTTTTACACATGTATTTTTAATATGTTTTTGGGCAAAAAGGCTTGGTGTCTTCTGAATGTGAAGTTAGGAGATCTTATTAAGCCATTCTGGTAACAAGGATGCAGCCTTCAAATCAACATGATATTCTCCTAGTTTGTCACCCTGCTGTTCAGGGGGCACCAGTGAAGTTGCTTTAAATGGAAGGCGTATGTTCATCCTTCAACCTCTAACACCAGAACAGATGGGTAGAACACAGAACATGGAAGGCTTTACCTCTGAGGTGGTAACAGTGAAGCCACTCATTAACACTGAATTTACCACTTCGTTAGCAACGTTGCTTCCTGTTGAGAAAAGCTAATACAGGCTTGGAACTGACTGAGCATATATTTGACTACCTCTGTGATTATAATAAATAGAAACAGAGAGTGTCTTTAGGCTAGTTAAAACCTGCCATCCATCACAGAGTTATAAGGTAGTTCACTGAGGCAGGCTGCTGTTCTCCTGGACTTGCTCTGAAGTACCCGGGTTTGGTACCAGGACAGCATCAGCCCCACCCTTTGCTCACAGGTGTTTATTTGCTGCCCATTTTTGACTTGTGTTTGTGATGTAGACTCCTGCTGGGTGCTGCATTAGCACCATTTTGGGGTGATATCGTTGAATATGATCTTATTGGAAGTCTATTTTTATTACTGTGGAAGCTTGCCAGCTTCAAAGCAGAATTCTAAAATGTCTGAGGGAAGGAATAATGATTGTTGATATAAATAATGCCAAGGAAAGAGCTTTATGATAACTTGTTTGTAGTCTTTGATGCATTTATTGAGCATTTTGTTGAAAGAAGAATGTGTTTCTGTAAGTTATGAACTGAGACAGTTATTCACATCCTTTCTTTTTGTGCTAGAGTTAATGTTTTACAGAACATGAAATTTGTACTCCAAGTGAAAAAAATTATTTAAAATATCTTAATTTCTGAATTGAATTTTAGAGCCCTGCTGTCTTAAATAGTATTGTTCACTGTACAAATTAAAAATACTGCAAAAATAATGTGAAGGATATATTTTTATCTTCAAAGCAGAAACCAAGTCTGTCCTGTCCTTACTAAGCACTGTCTAGCCAAGTGCTTGGTAAGCGCATAGAGCACGAGTGAGCTGTGCTCCCGTCCGCTGAAGTTACACCAGTACATGTTAGGCACCATTGCGCTTGCTGACTCAAAAGTCCAGAACCATGGTAGGATTTGTATCCCAATGGAATGTTGAGATTTAAAGATAGAAAGTTCCTTTTCTTTTGATTTTGCAGTTACATTTTTACTTATTTAACACTTAGTCCTTTATTCAGCAAACGCTGCCTCACACCTTTGCCTCATGGTTCAGCGAAACCTGATGGTGACCAGGTTGTGTCTCTTCCCTTAAAAAGTTAAGGACAAGCAGTTGCAGTGCAGTGTGTCTACTTTCCTAAAGAGCCTTGTGGAAGAGCGAGCGCCCTGTGAGGTAGGGGAGTGATGGTTGCCTCACAGGGCAGCCTCATACGGCTCCTTTCCTCCTCCTCCAGCTCCTTTCCTCCTCCTCTGGCTCCTTTCTTTTAAGATTCTTTTGTCTTCTTATAACAGATCAATATATGATCAAAAGCACTTTGCCATGTTAATCTACATTATGTATGAAATACACTATTTATGACATAAGAAAGTTCTAGGCCTCTACGCTACTCTTAGATTATAAATGGTATAATTGCTTTTCAGAAATGCCGAGAATTTGGGATCTCAGAGTATGAAATTTTAACATAAAGTTTTAACATTAGTAACTTATAACTAAGAATAACTTGGATATAGAATGACTAGAACCTTATGAATAAGACAGTTTTGTAGAATTTTGACAGAACACTGTCTTGAGCAAAACAGTTTTAAATATTTTAGAAGTTAAAATTACTATTTATATGTAAGTAAGCCAGTGATGTTGATTGCAGTTACTATAATTGACCCACGTTGTTTACCCTGAAGTGTTTTGTTACCTTTCAGGAATGAGCTTCAGGTGATAAAAATTGTTTTTCTTTACAACATTTGATAATTTCAGTTCTTCTGCTATATGGAGTAATTATCCTTAGGAAATCTGTTCAAGCCAGAGAATTCTTTTTATTATAAAATTATGCATGATATTTTAAACTTTGCAGTGTGTAATGCATTCATTTATATTGTATATAAGTATATGCTGCATTTCCTTAGGCATGCATGATATGATAGGCATGTATGATACTTAATTTCTAGAAAGCAGAAGTAGCAATATTTGCTTTGAAGGTATTTATAAAGTGGTTCATTTTTTGAAGTGTTTTCTATTTCCTATAGTTATTAATATCTCAATATATAAAGAGTAGAAAATTAAACCAGTGAAAATGTATACTTAGAATTTTCCATACATTCCAATAGCATTTCTTTGATGCAAATCTAAAGTTTTGTTTTCCATTTTCTAGACTAAATGTGTTAAATGATCTTGCCAACAATATGGATGATTTGAAGATAAACACCGACGTTACTGGTGCTAAAGAAGAACTTCAGGATGACAACAATTTTATCTCCGAGAAAGACAGTGGAGTTCTTAAACCAAAAGATTGTCAGACATCATTTCAGAAAAACAGTTCATTGACTCTGTCTGAAGAATTGTTAGAGGATCAATCAGAAAAAGCCGTAAGTGGAGGCCAGTCTGCTCTCTTTATCCCTGTCGGCACTCCTGCTGTTCCTAGTGAAAACTTTACCTTGCCTACAGGAGCTGTTGTTAATGGACCAGTCTCACACTCCTCCTCAACAAAGACTTGCAGTATGAATGAAGGTAGTGTTTCATTAACCACTGGACAGCCCACAGATCAGCTAACAACAGAGTCGTGCTCCACTCTGAAGGCAGCAGCTGATCATCAGCTGTCTACACCACAAAAAACAAGTCAACACCAAGTTCTGTTTTTGTTATCAGATGTATCACATACTAAGAATCCAACCCATTCCATTAAAAAAGTACCTACCTCTGCTTTAGTTGGTTGTGATGTTCAGAATTCAGTAGGGAATAGCATGAAGTCAGAGAGCACTTTACTAAGTCAAGCAGAGGTGGGTCAGGGTGATGACACAGTGGTCAGAGACAACTGTGTCAGCACGGTAGCAGTGATTTCCTCAGGTACAGATGAATTTAGGTCAGAAAATGATACAAACTGGGATCCCCAAAAAGAGTTCATTCAGTTTCTTATGACTAGTGAAGAGACAGTGGATAAACCCCCAGCTCATTCTAAAGTAGTAGGTCTAGACAAAAAGAGAAAGAGAAAAATGGATGTCAGCAAGATCACTCGCTACACAGAGGATTGCTTCAGTGACTCAGGCTGTGCGCCTGGGAAGTCAAAAATTCTACAGGTCGACTTTCTAGGGCAAACTAAGGAAATACAAGCAATAGACTCACAGAACTACACATTATCAAAAGTAAAACCCGAGTCAGCTGATGGAGACTTGGAGTCTGTGGACAGTTTTCAGCATCTAGTTTATAACTCAGATAAATGTGGAGAAGATAATTCACCTGTTCATACCCGCACTTTAATTTCAAATACCTTAAAAAAGAAATGTGAAGAGAGTGATTCTGAGTCACCTGTAACTTTCAGTACTGAAGAGCCATCATTCTACCCCTGTACAAAGTGCAATGTGAATTTTAGGGAGAAAAAGCATCTCCACAGGCACATGATGTATCATTTAGATGGGAATAGTCACTTTCGCCACCTTAATGTCCCCAGGCCATATGCTTGTAGAGAGTGTGGACGGACATTTCGAGATCGTAACTCACTGCTGAAACATATGATCATTCACCAAGAAAGACGACAGAAGCTGATGGAAGAAATTCGTGAATTGAAAGAGCTCCAAGATGAAGGCAGAAGTGCTCGACTGCAGTGCCCTCAGTGTGTGTTTGGTACCAATTGCCCTAAGACGTTTGTGCAACATGCTAAAACCCACGAGAAAGACAAAAGATACTACTGCTGTGAGGAGTGTAACTTTATGGCAGTGACCGAGAGTGAGCTGGAGTGCCATCGGGGCACCGCCCATGGAGCTGCAGTCAAGTGTCCTGTCATCAGTTCAGAAGTCACCCAGAGAAAAACCCAAAAAAAGACTTCGATGAAAGACTCTGTTATAGGATCATCCAAAAAACCAGCTACATACCTATGTAAGATGTGTCCCTTCACTACTTCAGCCAGAAGTATTCTGAAGAAGCACATGGAGTATTTGCATTCCCCATCGTGTGTTGATTCCTTTGGTAATCCTCTTGGACTTGACAAAAGAAAAAGTGACAGCCTTGAGGAGCCTGTAGATGTCGATAGCACCAAGGCGTTAGCTAAACAGCAGTCAAATACGTTTCCAAAGAACTCTGCTTTAAAACAGGATGCTAAACGAACATTTGGATCAAACGCACAGTCAAGTAATTTTTCAAAGTTTCATAAGCGGCCACATAGAATACAAAAAGCCCGGAAAAGTATTGCCCAATCTGGTGTAAATGCATGTAATCGAAACAAGTCTCCTAACAAGAATGTTATGGTTAAAAGCAGCACTGACCAAAACCCAAAGTATTTCCATCAGGCCCCAAGAGAAAAACCTAATGCCAAGGCAGACAGTTATTTATATAGCCACAAGTATGACAACTACCGGACGATCGGAAAATCAGGTGAATCATACCCACTTCCTTTCAAAAAAGAGGTTAATTCATTAAACTCTTTACATCTGTTTTCATCAAGTAATTCTCATAATAATTTTATTTCAGACCCTCATAACTCAGACTCCAAAAGGCCAGAAAACGAGAAAGACTACAAGCGTATAGCTGTAAAAAGAGTAATTAAGGCTTCAAAGAAGGAAAGCTCTGGTGGAGAAGACTTAGATAGCTATCCTGACTTTCTGCATAAAATGACTGTTGTTGTTTTGCAAAAGCTTCATTCTGATAAGAAAGATAGTTACGAAACAGAAGATGACAGTTCCTGGGATAACGTTGAGCTAGGTGACTACACTACACAGGCCATGGAAGAAGAAACCTACAGTGACCTTAGTCAAGAACATGTAAACTTATTGCCCTTATTTAAAAGCAAGATAGAAGGCCAGGGCCCTGGAGACAGTGCTGCCCTGAGTTACGATCAGAATGATGGTTTCTATTTTGAATATTATGAAGACGGTGGCACTAACAGCTTCTTACAAGATATGCATGATCCTCAACATTTGGAACATGCAGAAACGCCTTTGTCAAAGCATAGTTCTGTTTTTCATTGGACTGATTTGTCTCTTGAGAAGAAGTCATGTCCTTATTGCCCAGCAACATTTGAAACTGGTGTTGGGCTGTCAAATCACGTCCGAGGACATCTTCACAGAGCAGGATTAAGTTATGAAGCTCGTCATGTCGTATCACCAGAACAAATAGCCACAAGTGACAAGATGCAGCATTTCAAAAGAACTGGTACAGGCACACCTGTGAAACGAGTTAGAAAAGGTAAGTTCACTTTGGAGCTAGGTGGGGCCTAATAAATCTGTTCAGAGGAGTTGAAAATTGTGTTTGAATTTGGTCCTTATTAGAATCACACAGTTTCCATTTATGAGTTTATTCATTTACAGTGATTTGTAAGAGTCTGATACTACTCTTAAAAATCTTTTTTTAGCTATAGAGAAGTCTGAAACTACTTCCGAACATACTTGTCAGCTCTGTGGTGGTTGGTTTGACACAAAGATTGGGTTATCAAATCATGTCAGAGGCCATCTGAAAAGACTTGGCAAAACTAAATGGGATGCTCACAAATCTCCAATCTGTGTTCTGAACGAGATGATGCAAAACGAAGAGAAGTATGAAAAGATCCTGAGGGCGCTCAACAGTCGCCGCATTATCCCCAGACCGTTTGTAGCTCAGAAACTCTCCTCAGGCGATGACTTCCTATCTCACAATGTCTTACCTCTTGATGAATACCACAATGGCCTAAAGACAGAGGCTCTCTCAGTGTCTGCGTCAGAGGAAGAAGGGCTGAATTTCTTAAGTGAGTGTGATGAAACAAAACCTGAACTGCCCAGTGGGAAAAAGAGCCAGTCACTTACACTGATAGAACTTCTTAAAAGTAGAAGGCTAGGTGAAGAAAGGAATTCTGCCATTTCTCCTCACAAGATCCATAACCAGACAGCAAGAAAGAGATTTGTTCAGAAATGTGTTCTTCCATTAAATGAAGACAGTCCGTTGAACTATCAGCCACAAAAAATGGACTTGACTATGCACTCAGGTAAGGATGCTTGCGAGTCTGTCAACACAGTTGAGTTGTGCGTTGTGAGGTGGAGCATCCATGTGAAGTGCCTTCTGAGCATCTTCCTGTTCAAACTGCTGCACTGGCAGGGCACACTGGCTCTGCTGTTTTCATCAGAAGATGCCCAGCAGCACTGAGTCTCTGCCTCATTCTTGATCTGAATGTAAGTTGAGATCAAAAGCAAAACACACATGCGCGTGCATTCGTGCACACACACCCTTCCCCTCCCCCTACACCAAGCCAACTGACCCGTAAAACTCATGTTTAGCAGCACAGCAGTATGGGAAGACCTGACGTGTTTCTGCCACTGCTACCAAGTGATGTACTCAAACTGAGCCCCTCTGCTTAGGCAAGGCAAGGCAGTACAGAACAGCTTCTTTAGACCAAAGGATGGCACCTATTGTTTGATACTGTTAACCCAAACAGGAGTCTCCTCGCTGAAGCCTTGTTGTGTTGTGTGACTTTAGAGAACTATAGTGAATACAAATGTTCGCTTGGCCTTCTGAGGTTCACAGTTGTTCGCTACTGCAGCGGAGCAGGTGCTTGGCTTGGTGCTGCCGCTTCCCGTTGAAGGGGTGTTTTGAATATATTGGGAACTGATGTGGCAGGTGAAGAGCTGGTTTGGTCTTCTCAGGTCTAGTTTATACTTAAACACTAGAAGGGTGTTGGGGTTGGTTTGTTTATTTGTTTCGATGCTAAGGATGTTGAAGATTTATATATATGAGCCTATATTGACTCTGTTCTTAGCCAAATAGAAATTGGACAGTATATTAATAAAGGATCAAATTACTGGCTTGCTTCTTTGCAAGTACTGAATATCTCAATATTTGTATTGCCATTTTAATTTAGAGTAATGTTAGTAGTATGAAAAAATAGTTTCTCTGACTTAGGATTCTGGCTAGTAGAGTGCTGTCTTCCATATAAAGGTCTTTTTGAAGTCAGTAGTGATCTTTTTTCTTTTAAGAAGGATAAAGTTGAGCGATCATGGTGGCTGTGTTGATTGTGATCCGTTATTTCTTGTGGCCATCATAACACTGTTGAGACACCTATGGAAATGTTGTGGAGGAGTGAGGGTTGTCTGAAAGTTTAGAGTTTATTTTTCTACGTTTCCTTTCCTTTAATGGTATTGACTTGTTGATCATTTATTTAGTGCAAAGATTTTAGCAAAAAACAAACAAACAAAAAACCTTAAAATCATTAGCTTTCATTATTACGGCGCATTCAGAGTAATGAACGTAAAATGCCCTGAATGAAACGCTGTGTCTAGCAGCTGCTCCGTGGTGTCACCACCTCCTCTCCAGCCTTCATCACAGAGCCTCATTTAGAATCAAGCCTTTTACGGTTTTGTGGGTAAAACACATTAATTACCACTTTCTCAACTACTTTTTAATTTTTTTTATTGGTAAAACACTTTGAACCTTCCCAACAGAACTGTACTATTCAAATCACAGGACTGGATTTTAGTATGCTCTAAGAAAGGATCTGTGTGACTCAGAACTCTGCAAGGATGTAATAGCGGGTTCAACCTAGAGGAGCTTGGAGGTCCAGGCCACTCCCCTTGCACTTGCACTTTCCCAAGGAGCATCGACTGGCTCTCTGACTGGCTCTCCGTACTAACTGCCAGCTGCTGAGAGTTAACTCCCTTCCCTTAAGTTAAGCTAAGCTAACTCAGTGAGCAATTAAAAGCCATCTTTATCAAGGTACTTTTCTACACACACTAAGCTAAGAAAAATTTTCCCTTTTTGAAGTGAGAACTGGATTATAGTTTTCTTTTGAACGATAGGTATGCCTGTGAAGCTTACATGTGTGCATTGCAATACGACGTTTACAAGTGCTGTTAGCCTGTCCAACCACTTACGCGCTTGTGCACGAAGGAAGAGTGCTGGACTTTTGACTGGTACAGGTATGTCTGAACAGATTATCACAGCAAATCTGTTTGATACAGTACTCTCTCTTTTCGTTTTTTCCTTTAACTGCTCACCACAGTGGTGCCAATAAGTTAGATGATATCTATAGCTCCTTTTCGTAAGCAGCAATTGAACACACATTGAATTTCAGCAACTTGTAAACTATTAGGTAGGATTTCAATAAATGATTATTTCTGTCTGGCTCATACTGATTTGATTTGGGGAAAAGTAGCCCATTTGAGGTGAACTTTTGAGTCTATATTCCACTCTTTTAAAAAGTATACTATTTTTGATTTTTGAATTTACTTTTCTGTGACAAATATGAAAAAGATTACAGTAATGCTGCTTCGGAAAAAGGTGCTTTATTACAAAAGGAAATCACACACACAAAAACAACAAAAGGAAATCACAATAAAACCTCAAATAAATAGAATAATTCATTAGTCTATAAATTGAATCTTCAAAGAGGGACAGGCCCCTTTTGACCACTGTATAGAGTTTTCTTTTAATGCCCCTAATTCAGATAATGTCTCTTGCGGATGTTTTCGGCTTACTCGTATAGTATGCTTCTGACACCTTGCAAAATGCTTTGCTCTTTGATTTGTACTCTTTCAAGCTGCCTGCTTTACCAAATCCCATTTCTCGTGAATCTTAAACTTCCTTTTCTAAATAGAACTGCACAATCTTTTTTTTAAAATCTTCTTTATAACATTTTTATTTCTCTTGCTCCTTTGAAGTCATGACCATGTGCTTCCTTGAGTGGCTCTTTGCCTGGCCTTTATGTTCTTCCTCGTGCCTACAACTCACATCTGTGTCCTTGCTGCTAAAGAAACACTATGTTCATACTGGGCTCGCTCTTCTGCTTCTTCACTTTGTCTCTTGGATTGAGATACAGATGACAGGGACACCGTTTATATACAAAGAAGAAAAACAGTTTCAGTTTAGTGGTATAGATGTCTGAGCAAGGTTTTAGGTTTCTTTTACCTGTGTTTGATTAGGCATGCAGTTGTAGACATGAAAGACAAGAAGCAACAAAAGGAGCTGCTGGCATGGCAGGTGAGAACCGTGAGCACCGTGCTCTGTTCCCCATAACACGATGCTGAGGGACAATGCTGTGAGAGACGTAGGTCTGGTCTTCTCTTCTCATTGTGTAAGGAAGTTGTGCCCCAGAGTTTGCTCATTTTCTGTACTTAGAGAGTTACTGCATAGCAATGCTAGAGTTCAAACCAAGACTGTCTGACCTTGGCTTTTTCCCCTAGTTACTATTCTGTATTCTTGGATTTCCATAATTTTAAAATGAAAGTGGGTTTAAAGTGGGGAATATTCTGGTGAGTCTAATTAGAGACAGCAAGGACCAAGGAAATTGACCAGGCCTGCTTTAGACTTTGGAGGGTCTCTGAGAGGGTCTCGCGGAGTACTGAGGAACATACTCTGTTCTCATGTTTAATGGGTGAGTGCTCCTCTACTTGATTGTTGCTCCATTAAAAAATACTTTTGTCTCATCTTAAAACTTTTCAAAACACAGTAGTAGTTTAAAGGTACTGGTAATTGATATTACCTCTCATGAAAACAACAACAAAAATCAAAAACCCTTCATTAATATAAAGAAAAAGAACATAAAATGAACTGGGTAAAGTCTAGACCATCAAGGAAAAGGAAGACACTGCAATTAAATACTAACCACCATGTCAGAAGTGTTAGAACATCAAGCATGTGTTAGTTGTAGGCATAAAGAAGGGAGAGGAGCACCACTGTGAAGACTCTAGGGTGCTGCTGTCCATCACCACTTCCCTTCTTTAGACACTGAAATAATGTGTCTCAGTTTAAAGTTAACTTCCTGCTTTCTCTTGCCTACTTAAGATATTTTTATTCAGTTTTATTAATGTTTTTGTTTCCCAGACAGAGAATCCTATTAGTATCTATAAACTCCACATGCCTATTTATTTCCCAGTGTCTGTATCACAAGGGCCCTAGAGGGTTCTAGATTATTATAAAGGATTCATTGGTTCATGAGAAACAGGCTTAACTTTTTAAAAAGGTAGGTAGGTAGGTAGGTAGGTAGGTAGGTAGGTAGATCATTCGTTTATAAACCATACCCCATACAAGCACAAGCACATCACACAGTTGGGACAATGAAAAAGAAAAATGGTAGGAATGAAGCCTCTAAGACTCGAGTGTATTTCTTCCTAGTTCAGCTTTCATTCATGAATAATTTTACTTGTGTGGTCCAGTCTTGAAGAAAAAGCTTCAGTAGAGTCTAGGAAGGTGACTGAGTGCCTAAAGTGCTTTCTGCATATGCAAGGATCAGAGATTGGATCCTGGTGTTCATGTAAGTGTGGCAGCACTCACCTGCTACCTCAGTGTGGGAAGCAGAGAGATGCTGACCACCATGTGCAGTTGAAACTGCAGGCTTTAGACTCAGTGAGAGAACATCTCAGAGTAAACAGGTAAATAGGGTAAAGACACAACTAAGAGAAACATCCAACCTCAGCTTCTGGCTCCTGTACATGTACATGGACAGGCAAATGCACACAACACTCAAGCTTAGACATTCTTAAGACTGATAGTTCTATGGTACCTTTGATAGAATGAGCTTTTGGAAGCTGTCAGCTCCTGGCATCTTCTGTGCAATCCAGTGGTATTCCAGAGATAGAAATATTCCTCTAACTTAGGTCTTTCCAGCTAGCTTTAGACTGAAAAGTTTGCTTCCTAAAATACAATTTGGTGATGATTCAGATACTTGTAATGTGTTGTTTCTCTACTGTAACATGTCGACTTGCATGTATAAATTCACATTTATACCTGCAACCTATCCCTGTTCATCTATCTATCTGATGCACTCTAGTGCTTTTGATTTATTCTTTCTCATTAGAAAAGTAGCAGTAGTATGACCCAGGAAGTTGGTCTACTCAGCATTGAGTGCTGTGCCGTAGTTTCTTTCTGTTTAGGGACTGGTACGGGTTAGAAGTAATATCTTAGAACCCTAACACGTGTGGCAGCGGCATTATTTCTTTCAATCTGTTCATGTTTTTACCTACCACCTAGTTTTTTTTAAAGTTGGAAACTAATGTA